AATTTTTATTATAACTTAATAAAAAAAATACACATTTGATACTTGTTCGCTACTATTTTATAAAATAGTACCCAGGCTGTACGGCGTGGACGTCAGTATCAGTCACAGCCCAAAAAAAACGTGAGTCTCCAGCAGGACCCCGCTTACTCCTAATAGAGGTCTCCGGGAAAAATTTCAAATTTACTAGTAATTTTACCAACCTTTTTTGTCTCATAATTTTACCTTATACATATAGTGACCTTTTAAAAATATATTGAATTTTACCTTAAGTTTTCAGTAACCTTAAATTTTTGGTAATCTTAATTTTTTGGTAATTTAAAAACATTTAAAAATATCAAAAATAATCAATTAAATTTATTATTAATGTAACTAACTTTATTATTATGTAACTATTTATGTAATTTTATTTATTATTTATATAATTATTTGTATATACATTGCAATCTTTGAAAGATTTCTTCTTTTTGAAAAAATTGGAATATTTCACGTGCTTCACCAAATATTGTTAATAAATCAGATACTTCATCTGTAATATAATCCAATTGATGACCTAAATGATATACTATTTCTTTATAGGGAATATGTGTAAACAAATACCCTCCAATACGTGACTGACGAGTAAACATCCCTCCATATAAATGTATATACAAATAAATTGATACATATGAAAGACTGTCAATAGAATCTACTCCTACATTAATATGAGCATGACGTTCACCAATTTTTTGGTATTTAGCTATTACTCTACCAAGACATAATTTATTATCAAAAAGGATAATAATAAAATTTCCATCTTCTAAAAGATGACTTTCTGTTACATTTGCTAGTCCTATTTCACGAACTATAAATAAAATAATTTTAATACAATATATTTTTATAATAAAAATACAATAATTATATACAGTAATACCTGGTATATTTTTCAGAATTCTAATATCTGATGCTCTTTTTCTCATATCCCATCTGTTAAATCGAGGCTTATTTGCTGTAAATTCATCACTTTCTTGTAAAGTTCGGATAAGATCATTAGCAGCATTTCTTTCAATTATTTCATGTGAATTATCACTCATATTAATGGTTTTATTTCTAAGACCACATATTCTTTCTACCCGCGAAAATGCATTGTGAGACTTTCTAATATTAATTATATTTGAAACTATTAAATTTCCATTTGCATCAAATAAAGTTTCCTCTGGCTCCTGTGAATTGTTATTTATATTATTAAGAAAAGATTGATTAGTATTTGATGTTATATATTGAATTTCCTCTACTATTATTTGATTTGATATTTTATTTTGAAAATTTTCAACATTATTCTCTTCATCAGAATCATCATAATCTCCACTATCAACAACATCATCACCAACATTTTCACTATCATTTTCTAAATCTCCAATACATCCATTTTGAGCAATTTTTGCTGATCGAGAAATTTCAAGTGCTGCTCTTTGAATCATTAATTCCTCATTCTCATTAAAAAATGTATCATTTTGACTTTCTTGTTCATCAATTTTATCTTCATTATTTTGTTTTTCTGTTAATTTTCATTATTATCTTGTATTAAATCATCCGCTAAACTATTATTATTTACAAAAACAATAGGTGTTAATTCTAGTTCATTGGATACTAAATTAACCATTTTTGCAAAATTATATGCATTTTGATAAGCAATTCGGATTGCATCATAAATTTCAGAGTTAGAAGGCCACTTTCGTAATATTTCTAAAATATTTGAATCAATACTACGTGTATCAATATCAATAACATAACCTATTTTGATTGAATTAATTAGTAATTAATTTTAATTTATTGTTATATGAAAAATTTTAAAATTATTTACCTGACGCTGATAATTTATCCTTATCACACTTGAATTCTCCATTTCTAATTATTTTATCATGGTACATTACTTTTCGCATTACTTTAAAAAACTCATAAGCTGTAAAATCTGGTACAAGTTGTCTTACAATTCCAAATACATGTTCGAGTGCTTCAGTACCATGCTCCCAAGGTAATAATGGATAATCAGAATAATAGTCTCTATGTGCAATAATAAGCAAAACTAGAGATTCTGCTAAACTAGTAAAAATATTATAGCTTTGCAGCGAAATATTTGATGATTAGAAATATTAAAAATTAATAGCTTCGTATTTCCAAAAAAATGAATTACCTAATATGAACATATAAACAAAAAAGCCGGTTTTTCCTGGTGATAAAATACCATCTTTCTGACATATTGATATTAAATCAGAATGAAATGTTCAATATGCGGCGGCATCATCCTGTTTATCAACATTACATACATCTCTAACACAAATAGGTGAATTAGGAAATTGAGCCAATTCAAGTAATTGATCATAACGAATAGTATCATTTTCAAATGCAAGTAATTTTGAACCATAATGTATTTGATTTCTTGCTGTCTTCTTAGCGTGCTTTGGACACTGAACACGGATGATAGGGCGGTTGTTATAAATTGGAGCACGAAAGTTTATTCCATAAAATGAATCTTCAAATTCCAAATATTTTTCAATACTTTCATTATTTATTATTTTTTCTTGCGCTTTCATTTCTGCAATTGCTCCATCAGCACCAATACTTAGTAGGTTTATTCCTGCATGAGCTGTCATATTTATTATATCAAGCAGAAGTTGACTAATTTCAGTAGCGCTTACGTCCCCTTTTGTTGGTATTGCTGCGATCATTACTGGTGAAATTTTACTTATTGGAATCTAAATGATTAATATTAAATTTTATACAAATAGGTCAGTCATTGAATTAATAATTTATAATGAATAGATTAATCTTCTCGATTTTACCCATCTTGCTAAAAAATACGCTTGATAATAATTTCAAAATGTAAGATTTCGAATTCACTACTCCCAGTATTCCCAGCAAATTAAAATTTTGTACTCCAATTACCTTTAGGATAAATCCCCTAATTTGATTAGCTACAGCATTATTTTCTCGAATTAATTTCATTGTGGCATGTATATCTTCGTATGTAGAAACTTTAGTTTGATTGGAAGGTAATACCGATCCCATTATTGCTCCAAATTCTTGAGAATATACAACTTTTGGTCGAAGCTTTGTACAATCAGTCATTAAAATTACTGGTCCCTTCCAATGGTAGTCACTAGCAACCTTTGCAAACTGCACAATATTCTCAAATGATAATTCTGGATTAGTGAATACATCCTGATCTTTAGCTCGTTGTCGCCTAAATAAAGTTTTAATATTAATTATTAAAAGTAAATAGTTGATTAAATTAACCAAATCTATTTTACCTGATATGTTGTAAACTCATGCCACCAAAAGCATTTTTAAATATTGAATAGGTTCTTGAGCTTTCAGACAGCAAGCTAAAAAAATACAACAAATGTTCTGAATATCTAAGACCATTTTTTTTTTTACCACGTTCTTCCAAATTTTTGATCTTAATCATTAAAGCAGCTAATTCGGTAAAGGTTTTATTTGAATTAAATGCACCCTTTTGACCCAATTCGGCTAATTCTAGCCAAATTTTTGCTTCTTGATCATCAACACTGACACGATATAATCTTTTCAAATTAACATTTTGGAGAGTTTTAGTGAACTCATAATGATTAGGTATAAATTTTGCTGTAGTATCATCATTACGCTTCTAAAAAATATATTAATACGTTAAAATGATTGTAAATAATTAATAATTCAAGATTTAAATCATTAAAATACTTACTTCATTTAAAGCATCTCTAAAACGTGTATTATCACGTATAGCTTGACAACTTATGCAAATACCACTTGGATGTTGTGTTTTTCGCTCACAACTCATACTATATATTGCCTTAAGATCCTTATCAATACGCCATTTATAGGTCGATAATAATTCACGTTGCAAAATCTTTTTTTCTTCAATTGTTAATCTATTTCTTGAAAATCCCTTACGTCTCGGAAATTTATCTGGAAATAAATTATATGCAACTATGTAATCTCTTTTTCCTCCTCCATATTGTGTTGGTGTAAGTAAAATATAATCCAAATATTTATCACCATTAAGACCTTGACATGAAACATATGATTTTTGAACAGGTGTATCTTCATCAAATTCTAAAGAGTGTTTTTTTACAAAATTCAAAATGCTAGGTTGTCCTTTGCTTGTACCATTTTGAAATGAACACCCACTTCCAGAAGCATGAGTTTCTAAATTTTTTACACGATATGTCTTATCTAACTTTACTTGCTTACCGCATATACATTGAACGGATTTAGAATTTATAAGCTTAAAAAAGTTTGGGTGTACTTTTAATTGATTATATCGTAATCGCTCATCATTACTTTTATATACATTAAACATGTTTTATGTCGTATTTTATGTCGTGTTTTATGTCGTGTTTTCTGAAAGGAATTTTTACATGATGAGATATATCAGATCAAATCTTGTCTCAGGTGACAGAATTGTCAGGTGAGATGTATGAGTACGATCTGAGGAAAAAAAAAGTTCACGTAATGTTCTTTTAAATGCATTAAAAAATGCAACGATTTTTTCAACTTTTAAAATACTATGCTAGAAAAATTATCATTATCGTCAACTGTGATTTCCAATTTATTTTGCTTATACAATTTGAATGATAAATTTAATAGCGAAAAATGGTACAATAAAAATTATTATTCATGTATTTTAATAAATTTAACGAAAGAGAAAGATAAGAAAAATATATTTTAACAGATTTAACAAAAGAGGAGGAGAGAGATAAATGTATGTTAATAGGTTTAACAAAGAGTAAGATGGGATAATTTTATTATTGAGAAAGGATTAACACTCATTATGCTGTTACTAAGACAAAAAATGTATTTTTATATAACAGTAAAATATATATATATATATATAGTATATGCGATGTTATATATTAAATTTTACCTTGTAAAACTGGAAACCTTGGAAACTTACTATGAAAATTTACCATACGCATCCGGTAACCTGTTTTAATTTTACCTTATAATACCGGTGACCTTTATTTAACCTATATTTAATTTTACCTTACCCTATTAAGAGACCTATAATAACAAATTATTATGAAATTTACCTTATATTTCCGGAGACCTATATATGAAGTAAGCGGGGTCCTTCTCCAGCTGATATTTGGTACGGACTGGGTCTAGCTACTCACTTAATAAATAATAAAAAAATAAAAATAATTATCTTCTTCTACGATACATAGGTAAGTTTCTCCTTGCCCTACGATCATCACGCGTGACTAAAATTGATCAAATTTATCAAATTTAAAACATGAACGTAAATATTAATTATAAATTTTATTATAGTATAATTACCCGGCCTCTCCCAAAATCTTGTTCTAAATTCGCAATAATATCTTGCGCCGGTACGCGTCCACAGCTGCCGCCCAGGGTTACCATTACGATAAAGAACATAGTTCTAAATATCAAAATCAGTTTGAATATTCGGTAAATACATTTAATTTATATGAATGTAATTTTATTTATTTACTTACATGGTAATCCCTGATGAGATTCCTCCACTTTTGGCTGCACTGTTGCCCAGAAACCCTCGTTCGAAATATTCTATTTATTCTGATTCAATTAAATGGATTGGTTAATTTGAATTTAAATTCTTTCTTAAAGAAATTATAGATATTAGTCATATGAACCTATTGGCAACAGAGTCCCAAAAATCTTGGCGGCTTCTACCATTAATATTGTGGTAGGCGCGGTTTCTGTCTCGGCGTATGTCAACAAGTTCGTCCATCATAGCCCAGTTCCAATGGACGTTATAGTGGGAACGACGACGTGTGTGGCGAGGCATTATTAGTAATTTGATTTTGGGATGAGTAAAAATTTGAAAGAAAGTCGTAAAATGTCACTTTAAATAAAATTTGAACAATACCTCTTTGGTTTGATTTTATTTCTCGTTTCAATTAAAATTTAATTTATTAGACTTTTCATCATTAAACATATTAATTAAATCTCATGCGGATATGGATTATCTAAATATAAATATCATGATTCTAAATATAAATATAAATCACTTAATTTATTTTAATTTTTTTTTAAAAAAAAAAATCTTAGTTTGATTTCAATTAAAAATAATTAAAAATCATGTACATGTTTTGGTTATTTAAATATAAATATCAATATATTATATTTAAAAATAAACCAATTTATTATTAGCATATTCTATTGAATTTTAAAAAAATCAATTTTTTTTTTTAAAAAAAAAATCATCAATATATCATATTTAAAAATAAAACAATTATATTCTGATTAAATATTTTGCGTACATTTCTTAAAAAAATCATAAAAAAAAATCTTGTACGTCGTACATGCAATTACTAAATATCATCCCCTTGTGATAAATAAAAAATTACGCAACACAAATTCAACACAAACTCAACACAAATTTAACAAATTTAACGAAATTTGGCCAAAATTAATAATTTTTTACCAGAATTATCAACACAAATTGAACACAAATTGAACACAAATTTCAGTCACGATTTATTTATGTCACACCCGTGTTGTTAATAATTAAATAAATAAATCTGCATTTTATTTATGATATGGGAAACGTGACCATAAATTCTTTAAGGATATAATTTTATTAAAATAAATCAAAACTCCTATATCAAGTGACTAAAAAATATATTTATTTACGAAATATTCATTTTGTTTATCAAATCGGGGTACTATGTGAACGACACCATGTATAGACTCTATAGCTACAAAGTTATATAATTCTATCAATTTTAAGTGAGGACATCCATATAAATATGGGTTCCTTTTAGATTTAAAATCGTACCATTGAATTAATGCGAGATTTAGCGGTGGGTCTGTTAATACTTCTGCTAACAATAAGGCCTATAAATAATAAATATTTATTAATACTTTATAATAAATTATTACATAAATTGGAAAAATACCTGTCCATAACAAAGTCCTTTGTCTGATATATAATCATTTGATTCTTCAGAATCCATTGAAATAGCTATGTCGCTAAACCATACTTTATTATGATACCTGTTTGTGGCACGCATTATGGCACCATTTTCCAGTGTTACCGATCCGTATATGTTTATTCGGGTTTCACCAATAATTGTGAACCCATCAAGTAAATCTAGATATGAATCCAGACAACTTATAAATCTAGCAAAACCGGTCTGCATTTTATTGTCTACGGAATCTTTTTTTTCATTAAAAAATGTATTTGCATCTTGTAAAGAGAAATCAAAGAGTCTTGCAGAAAATTTACAAGTGCGAGGTGTTTTTGCCGGATTCACTGAATGTTGAGACATTCTAATAGATATTGCTTGACGTTTTATCTATTAATTTAATTTCCATCTTAAGTTATATAATAAATATATACAATAAATAAATTTCCAAATACTTACAGTTCGTAAAAGCTGAGGTTCGACATCTTTTTTATTGCTAATTCGGTAGGGTATTTTAACGAAATATTTGTGGAGACTTTCGTAAGTTTCTGTGGTATAGCCATTTATTGCGCCATAAGATCGTATTGAGTCAATAATGTGATAAACCCATGAATGCAATTTAGGCAACTTCAAATTGGAAGGAGAAACAAATTTAAAAGCCTTGACAAACATCCGCGCCCATCTATGTATTGCATCCTAAAATTTAAATGTTAATTTAATTTATTTAATTTAAATTTTCGATTTTACTAAAATTTTAATACATACATTAAATTTCTCCAAGTCACTTTCACTAAATTCTTCATATCTACTTAAAATATACATTTCATTCCAATATTCGTACAATTTCACAAGATCATCATTATTTACAAAATTATCTACTTCGTTATTATTTTCATCATATAAATTATCAATAACAAATATCATGACTTTCATCAAACTTCGATATTCATTAGCAGTTAATCTTGCAATTGACTGCAGTCCATTGGAAAAAATTTTAATGGCAGAAAAATGTGGAATTGCTGCTAGATAACGATCTACTTCTTCAACTAATTTATTACCATTAACATGTTGCAATTTTAAGATATCGCATGTGAAGATAATTTGATAATGAAATAAACCCAAATCTAAATGATGCATTCTGTCAGGAACAGTAGCCAAGTAGATATTTATATTCCTTGATAATATAAATATTTATAATTAATATATATATATGTTATTATAATTATTTCTACTTTTGCATACTTACGGCAAATCCCAAAAAAAATTAGGTACAGATTCTATGCAAACAGATTTTTGTGTATCATTTTCAAAATATTTACGCATTTCATCATGAGTTCTTAGTATTACATCATTAACCGATAAGTTTATATTTGCAAGATTGTCCCTTTTAATTAAACAGGAGTGACATGGAAGGCTTGAATTGGAGGATTTATAAACTAAACAAAAACTTGCGGCTTCTGGCCAATCTGCAATAATAGTTGAAACTCTAGGATAAAACCAGGTATTTTCATTATTTATAAAAAGGTCTATACCATCTTTTAATAAAATAATTGGTTCTAGTAAATGACGTAAAGATTTATGAAAGGTATCACGAACCAGATCTTTATTTGCAGCTTCTAAAATTGGTAAATATCCCAAAAGTTGCTTTGCATCCTGTTTATTACGACGCCATATTGGGATATTGCCTAATGAAATATATATTGGATGCAATTGACTTTTTCCTAATGTATCTGTAGTTGTTGCATCTGAATATAAAATAATTGATAATAATTTGGAACCAGTAGGTAAGGATTCTTGCGTAGTTTTCCACCATTTTCCAGTGTTTTGTTCACTGTAAATACTTTCTCTATTATACTATAAAATAATATAAATAAATTAAAATAAATATTATTTAAATTATTGAATTAACTAATATTTACTATTTACCTCATAGTTTTCGTAAGATAGCGCAAAATTTTGTGTTATGTCAGGAACAGTTAAGATATTTTTGATGCACTGTATTAAGTTTTGATAATAAAGAAAATAATCTTTATCCTTATGTTTTGTTATAAGAACTTTACTAAATTCTAAATTAGAAAACTTCATATTATTCATAAATGCTCGTCCCTGTTCAATATTTTTTGGTAATGGTGATTCTGTAAGATTTGAATGTTTATTAAAAAAACGTATTATTTCATTACCACCTTTATTGTTTATTTTATATTTCGTTACTAATAACATTAGATCTTTATAAGCATCATTAGGAAATTCTGTGCAAGTTTTGGTATTGAGATTTTTGGGTTCTTCAAAAATTTCAGGCTCTTCAGATGAATCTAATATATTTTCAAAGTTACTATCTTCAAGGCTCATCTCTGATATTGCACTTCCAATACTGTCAAATGACATATTTTGTACATTATTATCATCATCCACCTAAAATTATAAACCAAAATGAGTTAGTATAATTTGAGCTTTTTCTTTAAAAAGAATAATCTGGAATAACATAATTACCTCAACTTTATCATTTTCATATTCACTACTTAGATTACTTCTTGTATCCATTTCACTGCTATATTTTTCACTATCATTATTATCATCATCATCTTCTACTTCTACTTCTACATTTTTTAAGCATTTTTGGGCGTGTTGAGTATATGCAAAGCGTTGACTGAATATTCGCATACAAAGGGGGCATTTGAAACTCATGTTACTAAATTAACGCGTCAAATTTGATGAAAAGTATCAATTCACTATTTAATTTATATGAGATTATGTGTGCTAATAAAATTATATTGCAAATTCATTGTAAAAATTTAATGAATTAATTGAATGGATTACAATTGATTGAGTTATTTGAATAGACACGACTACGCAAATTTACGCATTAATGAATGGAACTGGCTGTAAGAATCTGGTGGCTAATATCGCGGAATCATTCGCAATTTTACGCATTATAGCAAAATTTAAAATATGCGAAACACTCAGCAATTTTGCTGTCGGGAACTTGCCGAGTTCGTGGGTTGGCAAATCTAAAAATAAATGTAACAAGTCTATGATGTACCATATAAATATTGTTTATTATTTTATTTACTATTTCAATTTGCCGGCAACCTGCCAAGTGAATCTGACAGCAAAAGTGCTGAGTGTTTCGCATATTTTGAATTTGCTGTAACGGGCTGTAAGAATTCGGATGGCTTATTCAATCGGCTAATCATCTGATAATCAGCCGCAAATTTATTGGCTTAACACGGCAAATCACTTTTACAATAATGGACAGATGATCAGCCACAAATTTATGCGATAATCAGGTTATAAGCGCTCAAGATCACTATCAATCTGATCAGCCAAATGAGTTCACTGGCTGCAACTTTTTTTTTCCATGCATAAAAGCCCCAACATGTGTAACATGTTATTTTTTTATAAATTGGATTTGATTAATATTTCGATTGTACTATGTGCTTTTACGAGAGTTTTTTTTTAAAGTTCTCTTATGAAAGTGTTACAATATTTTTTCGTAATATCACGATGCAAAATTTTTGCATTAGTACATTCATTTTTCGTAATATTTCGCATTAGTTCATCCATTTTTCGCAATATTTCGCAAGTTTTTTTTCTTTTTTAGTATAGAATGGCGGAAATTACCTTATGACAGCTTGCCTCCTTTTTCTGAATTTCTGATTCATGTATTTTCCCCTTTTTCCTCATCCTTTTCGAATTTTCTAGTTCACCTTTTTCTCATATATTTCCTCTTTTTTCTCATATATTTCCTCCTTTTTCTCATATTTTCGTTTCAAATTTATTATCATAATGGCTACAAAGCGTGGCGAGAAACGAAGAATTGACGATAATGAAAGATTTTCAAAACGTAGTACTGAGGGTAGCGAAGCTGAGAAGCGAGTGAGAATATCCGATGATAGTGTTGATGGTATATATGACATAATATGTATCATATTCTTTATAAAAGAAATTATATAATATATAGTTAAATTATATTTTATTGTTAAAGTTAATAAAAAAACAATAGAAAAACTATTAAGAACCAATTCGCAGATAATTTCTAAGCTTGAAGTTCTTATCACCGGACAAAAAAATCTCAAAACCCGTCTCTCGAGCATAGAAAAAAAACTCAACGATAATAACAAAAATAATAATAATACAATAGATCTGGAGTATGTAAAGGTAATAAAGATGAATATTATTTAATGTAAACCTGAAATGCTAACCTCGTTTAATTAGAAGCTCGTTAAGAAGGTGTCAAAAATTTTATTTGAAAATTTTGTTTATCCTTCGCAAGATGAGTACAAACTCGCTACCGAAAAATATTTAAAAGACGAAAATCCAGAATTTATGCGCCAGTTCAAAAAAAATCAATGGATTATTTTTTTCAAAAAAAAATTGCCCCGACTGTAAGTTAAAGCAATTATGAATTTTATTAAATTTCATACTAACATTTTTTTTTAATAGTTAGTACAACAACATAGAAGCATACGAGGGACGTTTACGTCTAAAGTTAAAGATGTTATGTATTCTGTTTTCGAAGCGACTGGGCATAAATTACCGTCTATTAACACTCAGGCTAGTCCGTCAAAGATTCAGGAATGGAAGAGTAAGGCGGAGGTGAAAAGATGTTACAACAACCTATTTAAAAAGGTTAAAGATAGGCAACCTAAGACATATATGTCGCTGATAATTGATAAGTTGCGAAAAGAAAATAAAAATCCCTCAAAAACACAAATAGCGTATGCGATTAGCATATGTGAAACGTACTTAAATCCTAATAATCAAAACATTCAAATGAGCGAAAGTATAATAAAGTCGAAGATAATCAACAACTTAGTAAGTTTTTAATTTACAATTTGCAAAATGTGAATTATTTGAATTACAGTTTATTTATTTATTTATTGATTTTTAGCAAAAGTTGGAAAATAGGGATAAATTTACACATTCAGATGATGATTCTCATGATGGTAATGATGTAGATGATGGTGGTGATAGAGCAGCTGACGATAGAGCAGATGCGGCTGATGATGGTGTGACTAACGATGGTAAGCCTAATGATGGTGTGGCTAACGATGATGCGGCCAACGATGGTGTGGCCAACGATGGTGCGGCCAATAATGGCATAGCTGACGATGATATACTTTCTATTGACTCTTATAACACGGAGAAGGAAGGTCGGTATGTAAATAGTTTATTAGAGAATTATGGGTTGCATAGGAAATAAATATTATTTTTTATATATATCACACGTAATAGCATTTTTTTTTACCATAATTAATATAGTTTTAATAAATAAGATGGTTATTAATTCTTAACAACACGGGTGTGACATAAATAA